AAAACTTACTAGGAAAATGGAGTTTATCATGTCCCAAGGAATTGGCATTGAAATATTAGAGGTACAATAATCATTTTGGATCTATATGCATACACTGTAAGTAAAATGTCAAGAATTTCTATCCCTAGAAATAATAAGTGCTGGGGCTACCAAGATTTGGAGCAACTCTATCCAAGGCTGAGAAGGAAACCTGTCCAGTGTCCTGAAGCCACCATTTAAAAAGCATAGATCAATATGCAATATGGGACAAGGTTAACCTTTTGACTGCTTCAGATGGAAAAATGAGTGAGGTAAACTGGCTACTGGCAGCCTTATTCCTGGATGCCTAGCATAAATGCTCAGGCTGATTCTGAAATCTGCACTGTGAAAGGTAGAGACTTTTCTAGAATCTTTACAGCCTGATTTATGAATTAATCTCATGGAAACAAATAAAATGGGATTAGAGTATGACGACTTTCTTTTATAATTAAAGGAAGAAAAGTAGATGGGTTATACCTATTTTGGTTTTCTCCCAAATCCTTTAAGACAGAAGCCGTATCTGACATAGTGATGAAAAACGAAAACATCATAAATGCTCGGTCTATTAGAGAAGGTCTCCAGGTAGTCTTCCTGCAAAACCCTCTCTCCCCCAAGAACGAGATAAGCTTCTGCCTGCCATAGGGGCTGAGTCCTGCAAGCTCAGGCTGCTGCAGCTGATGTCCAAGGAGAAGGTGCAGAGACTTGCCCTGCAGGGACCAGGAAGGGATGGAAACTGCTGAGTGCTACCTCAGTCTAATTAAAAAACAACATATGCCTAGGGCATGCTCACCAAGGTGTTTTTTTTTATTACAGGTCTGGGCTGCTTAGCTCATCTGTTTACAACCAAAAGTCTCCTGAGTGTGCCTATTAAAGTGCAGGTTTATACCCCAGCCCATTCTGATTCTGTAGTTCTGGGGCAGCAGCAGAATGGGAACCTACAATTTTAATCAATCATCCAGGAGATTCGCAGGGACCTGGTACCCAGGCAACACTTTGGGAACCATTGGTTTAAACCAATGGTTCTCAAACTGGGGTCACTGGATGCATTCTTGAGTGTTTCGCAAAGTGAATTTTTACGTTTTGTATTCTTCTTTTGATAATGATCTTTCAAATATTAAGAACATTCCAGATCGTTTGGGTGACAATTTCATAACCAAACCCTACCACAAGACTTCCATTGAAGTGTTTATAGTCCGGGTATACTTTTAATTTTGTCTCAGGCTAGTCTTTACTCACAACCAGACCTGATTTGAATGTTCACACCAAAGCCATGCCAGAATGACATTCCTTCATTTGCTCAGAAAGGGAAAGGAGCAGGTTTTGACAAACACCAATGCATTGAATCTGGGGGTCTACCGCATGGCTAACTGACAGTGGGGAAAGAGGCTTAGAGCTCAGAAGAGAAGGTGTCTCCAAAGCCAGAGGACTGGGG